CATGTTTAAGCATTTCTCCCGGAATTTTAAGTTTATGTACAAACTAAATATATTTTTCAAAAGGACACATGCTGGGGTGCCTGGGTGGCTCACTTGGTTAAGCATCTGTCTTCGGCTCAGGTCATGATCTCAGGGTCCTGGAATCAAGTCCCATGTCAGGCTCCCTACTCATCGGGGAGTCTGCTTTTCCTGCTCCTTCTGCCCTTCCCCCTGCTAGTGTGTGCTCTCTCTCTCTAATAAATAAAAATCCAAAAAGAAAAAAAAGAAAAGACACATGCCTATGGATGTTTATGAGTATGGGTTTATAAGAAGATGCTCATAGATTTTTAGCAACTTGTTACCTTCCCTTCAGAGATGCTGAGATCCTTCCTGCCCCCAGTGTATCTCCCCAAGGATTTCTGGTGCCTGAAATTTCACTACGGCAGACCCTCTTCCTTGGCATAAGCTTTTACAGCCCCTTAAGTGGAAATACTGCAGATCAAGTAAGACATTTTATCTTCTAAATCGTTTACGCTCCTGGAATTTAACAAAATAACCTCCCAGACAAATTAAATCATGTACACTAACAAGCAATAGAGAATTTTGGAATCTTGCAAAGATTCCAAAGATATACTCAGTGAGTACACGACCAGTAATCACAATGAGAATATAGCAATAATGATAAAGACAGATATTGTTACTGAACGATGATGTTCTAGGCTATGTTCTAAACACTTTCCCACATACAATCTCATTTCTCTGGCCCAGGACCCTATAGAGTAGGAACCACTGTTATCACTGTCCTACAAAAGTGAAGTAAGCGGTTGAACCATTCAGCTGGTGAGAAAGTTAGGATGTAAGCCCAGAGCCTGGGTTTTTCACTGCCCCAGATTTCTTATTCTCATTCTACCCAGAATAAAAGAAAATATCTGTCACTGAGGGATCTATCTGGTAAGATAATAGCAAATTATTTCAGAACTAAATCCAAAGAAGTAACTTCTCAAATTTTTCTTTTCCTGTGCAACAGCTTTGCTCTCCATGTATGCTGTGCGTGTGAGCGATTTGCTTATGTCTATATCAACATGTCTCTTCTGTGTTGGTGGCAGTGAAGGAATGAAACAGATTTCTGAAATCTCTTAATGAAGGGTTTACGTTAATATTTTTAATTAATTTATTAATTTATTAATTTATTTATCTGGCAAGGGACTAGAGCGCACCCTACTGGCCAGCTAATAGGAAATGCACCATTTGCTTGGAGGGAAACATAATGCTAAACTTTGAAGTTAAATCAGATTCATGTTTAAAAGAAACCTGAAAAACACTGTCTCGCAAAAATCCACATATTCAGTTAATGCACCTATTGGACACTAAAAAGTTTTAATAGTTCTAAGTTCCAGAAATGGGCTAGAACTGGAAATACAATAATCACTAAAATAGCATCAAAAGTTCTTTAAGGGAGAATGAGGTCAATGAAAAGTGATTCAATTTAAAAATAAGCAACTATACAAATAGCCTCTCTAAAATTCATACTATGAAAAAGGCTGAGTTTACTGTTTATATGTTTTTCTTTTCTCTCTCTCTCTCTCTCTGTCTCTCTCTCTCTCTTTTTTTTAGGGGAAAAATCTAGGAAGGAAGAGGAGTATCCCTACCCACAGAAGGGAAAAATGGAAGTTGTAAAGAGATCTTTTTCTGCTCAATTTTTCAACTGGCTGCTACCGTTGGAAGCGCCATGGAGACTTCCCTGGGCTGTGGTGGCCTTCATGAAGGAATCCCGGCTCTTCCCAGCCTGGAGGTTTTGCAGTAACACACAAAGGTTATTGGATATATAAATATGTATCAGTGCCCGGATGTCCCTAACTCATAAAGGGGCCTACTAACAAATGACTCTTAAGAAATACAATTCTTCCACTGTTGTGTATTTTTTTACTGCACACTTAGCTATAAATTAGTAAAAAAAAGAGAACTGCATAGTTACATTTAGATCATGAATAGACAAAAGTAAACAGTCTAGCACTAAGAGGGCGATTCAGAATGTGTCTCACTTAAAAGTATTTCTTTATAAACAACAAAGAAACATAAAACCATCTACAATCAAGAAGAATAAACGCCAAAACGTGTATCCTCTTCCGCAGGATTCAATATTTGAACATAAATTTGGAAAGCTTGTAAGGTCCCTGTTCAGTATGCTGCTGCTTACCTACGACTTGTGGTCTTGCTAGACAGGAGGAAAACGAACAATGTCTTTAGAAAAGCAGTGTCTGTGATTCTATGGTTTCTGAGCCAGAACCTCTCCTTGTTCTTACTCCAAGGACAGCTTCTTCTTACCCTGAAAAACGGGCAAGTGCAAAGAGACAATTTAGGTCAGTGTGATGTAAGTCTAATATTTTAGATGTTATGTTTGGTTTTTTTTAAATTAAAAAACAATCAGCTAATAAAAATTCCTTGGGAAGTACATCAAGATTAAATGGACTCTGAGAGATATTAAAAAAATTGTCTGACTTCAATCTTCTTATTGGAGACAATTTAAAACAAGTTAGGTTCTATACAAAGAGAATATTTTTACCCTAAACCTCTAGTCTAGTGTTCTAATCTGTTAAAAGTCAATGAATGATCACTTGATGAACACAATATGCTAATATTATTTCACGCTGCTTAGAATTTTCCTTGTAAACTCTTCCCAAAATAGTCTACAATATCATTGACATGACCACGTTATTACAAAATATCACTAACAGACTATTAGATAAAAGATTTGCGGGGTGTTAAGTCTATGCATGCAATTCAGCCACAGGTGAGCAAGCTATATTACATGAACATAATTGTAAGCAAAATTCAGTAAGCAATCAACTCTGCTTTTTTCCCCCAAAATGAATAAACCAAGATGTTGATTCTGCACGTTTAAAATAGATCGGAAGGAAAAAAATGGATTAATCATATACTACTCGTGTTTTTATGATTTCTGATAATTTACCAAAACAGCACACCAGACAGTTCACAACCATATAACGATTATCCTGTTGATCTTTTCACTAAAGAAGGGGTGTGTTTGGTGGTTGCTCTGGTAATTATCACTGGTAATGAATAGGGGAATGTAAAAGCATGCCAATAAGGCCAAAGCACAAATTACAACTGTATTGTAGTGGCTTGAAATAGCGTAACGAGGGTTCCTTTTGGATGAAACTTGAGCTCATCTAGGTCCCCATTCAGTAAATGCTGCACTGTGAGGTCTGAAAAGATGTTCTCTGGCAAATTCTCAGGCTGGTCCTTTTGGTACACTGATAACAGCATATGGGTAAGTCTTAAACATAAATGAAAGCAAAATGGGGGGAAACAATCCGGGCAGATTTTCTGTGAATCAAAAAACCGAATTTGGTTAAGAAAACCAACAAGGAGTTGTGACTAATTTCCATCATCCTAAAATAATAATAAACGGAGGGCACTGAGAAACATCATAGATGGAATAATTGAATTGTTGATAAGTAGCAGAGGCATGAAAATGACCCATGAGCCCCTGTAGGCCAGAGGAGCCCATCAGAAAGACCAGAAAGAGTAGAGCTCTCTGCTAAACATCTGTTTATCTTGCAACTGAAAAGGGCAAAGGAATCCTTCAGGTGTGTGTGTGTGTGTGTGTGTGTGTGTGTGTGTGAGAGAGAGAGAGAGAGAGAGAGAGAAGGCATCGAATTCAAAATTGGGCCTTTGAATTAAATTTAAAAGAATGTAAGTAAACAGTGGGGGAGAAAAGGCAATCATTTCACGGAGTGCGTAAGTTAATAGTTAACCTGAAAATGAGGTCACAATCTCATTCCATATGTTAAACTACCCCAATTAGGTAGTGCTGAATGTGTAACTCTCAGGCACAACTGCCGAAACCGAGAAGGGGCTCTGCAAGACGGACGAGGTCAGCCGGAGGTCCATGGCCTCTACTTAATAGAGAGGACCATTCAGGGGACTGTTCTAGTTAAAACTGGAGGGTTTCTGTCTGTTTGCTTTTTTTCTTACTTTAGTTACTCTTGGTTTGTTATCATTTGTATTATTTATTTTACGGTTAAACTGTAAGCCTAAGTTGCATCACCGTCGCGGGGAGAAGCCTCCTCCCGCAGGCTTTCCGGTGTTTCGTCCTTGGGCATCACTGGCCGCCCGGATGCCCAGAGATGCTGAGAGCGGCATGGGTCTAGTAAGTCAACACCAGACTGGAGACTGAAGGAGAGGCCGGGTAGGGTTGGGGGTGCTTTTTATGGAAGCCCATAGGGTGCCCCGGGCAGGTCAACTGCCACCAGAGACTGGCCTCGGTTTTCCGGCATGTGGTCCGAGGAAAGGGGGCTGGGCAGATCCGCGATCAGCGGTCCCAGCAAAGGCCCTCAGCAGGGTGGCCTCACTGCCCCTCAAGGTCTCACCCTGCCCTATGCTGTCCCACGCTGGGCAACTCTGTCCCTCGACGTCGCTTGCTTCCCACACTGTCCGACAATGCTCCACTCTGTCCATGCTGCCCCCCCTACGCCTCAGCTCGCAGGCCTCCCGGTGCGCGCGGGCCTCCTGCCTGCAGAGGCTCCACTGGCCTTGGCCCGGGCGTCCCCCGCCACCACGGCAGCGGCAACGGCCCGTGGACCCGGTTACACGCGCCGAACCCCGCCCCGCCGGGGCCTGAAAACGACGGGAAACCCCGCGCGACGCTCGGCGCCCCCTTTAGCCGGGCGGAACGCGGGCCGAGGCCGAGCTGCCCGCACACATTCAGCGTCAGGATTCTGGGGCCTCGGCAGCTGCTGCTCGGCTCGCGCAGAGCTGAGACGCGGAGGCCGCCCCGGCCCAGAAACGGCCCCCTCGGAGACAAAGGCGTCATCCCCGCGGCCGCGCGACGCCGGTGGACCCCACGCCATCGCCTGGGCCGCGGCATCGCCCCTTTAAGCGGCGCGCGGCCGGGATTGGCTGAGCGGGGGAGGTGGGGCGCTGGATGTCGACGTCACGGCCCCGCCACTGGCATATATTGCGGCGTCGGCTGCCGCGCCGACTGCGGACGAGTGCGAGCGGGGAGTGCGAGCGGGTTGCGGCGGCCAGCGAGTGGCGAGGCGCCTGCGCGGTGTCCGGGCCCCTGAGCCCGCGGCGCTGAGCCAGCCGGGACGGACATGCGCGGGAGGGCGCCGTGGGGCAGCCGCGGCTCCGCGGGGGTAAGGGGCCTGCGGGCCGGGGGTGGGGTGGGGTGGGGTGGGGTGGGGTGGGGTGGGGAGGGCGGTGCCGCCCCGCGCCCCCGCCCCTGCCGGGCCCCTGAGGCGGGCTGCGGGCGGCTCCCGACGCTGGGCGGGTCCCCGGGGTGCGGAGAGGGTCTCCGCGACGCGGAGTCTCCAGAGACAGACGGACGGGCGGACGGACGGGGGGGGGGGGGGGCGCCAGGGGTAGGGGCCGGTCCGGGGACGCTGCGCGAGGGCCCGGGCTTCGAGGGCGGCCGGCCGGGGTCCTGCGCTGGTGAGGCTGGCGGCGGCCTCGGCGTCCCCCCTTCCACAATGGGGCTGCGCTGCCCCGGCGCGCACCGTGTGCCGGTCAGCCCCGTCCCGAAGGCTGTGCTGGGGGTGGCCGGCCCGCGGCCCCTCTGCTCTGTCTCTCGACGATGACGGTCATCCCCGGTCAGGGCCCTTGAGTAATTCCGAGCCCCCCCTCCTCCTGTCTCAGAAACGCGATCCTTTGGTCGGAGCGTCCTAATTACTGTTTCCGAAGGAATGGGAGTGCAGAATTCTGTGTTCGGAACGTGACTGCTTATTGGGTGTTTTTCGTGTGTCTGTGCGTGTGTATTTATATGTATATCACAGCCTCGTACAAATTAGATGACTTCTTAACCATGATTGGTGCTGTATCGGTGCTTCCTAAGTCTTTATTAGGATTTCGTCATTGCTTGAAAGGAACCAGTCTCTTACCTGATAAAAAAAAATATATATATGAATAGATTGTTAGTCATAAACTTAAGTGCAGTCAGAATAGACTGTAGCTTTAAAAGAGATGTGTTGGTGACTTTAGGTACACCTGCAACACAGGTAGGGCCGGACTGGTTTCTAAGCAACTGTCAGAGGTGAAGAAAGGTGAAGTTAAAATGCGTTGTGGGTTTTTGTGTGTGTGTGTGTGTGTGTTTTTTTTTTACCCCCCTGAAGAACAGTATTCTGCACGTTTTCCAGCTTTTATAAATCTGTAAGAATGCGAAGGGTATGCGTTTGTTGAGGATACTGAAACATTCGCCATACCAAGTCTTGCTTTTTTTTTTTTATTCCCCATTTCTGTAATATGGTTTTCAGCAAAGTTTTACTTAAACAGAGACAGGAGGCCACCTACCCATTTCAGAAACTGAGCAGATTTTGCTAAGCAAAGTAAAAGTTGGCTTCTTGTTAATTGTGCTGTGATTGGTTACCAGTAGGTACTGCTGTCTTTCCCAGTTATTAGCAGATTTGAAGAGAAGTACATACAGCTTTTAGCCTGAACTTCAGACACTATTTGTCAGCTCCTTCCCTCCACACAGAGGCTTATTTTCAGCTGCCTGTCTCCGTGATAGTAGGGGCTAGAGGTCCTGGGCTAAGGATTTTAACCTGGCATGTATTAGATTGTGAACTCCTTCAGGGCAGGAACTCTTCTGTACAGCTTCTATCTCGCGCAGCCTTGCACATAGTCGATGGTTGATAAATAATTGCATGGAAGCATATTTTACGTCTCAGCAGGATTGGACCAGTCGCTGATAAGGGTGGGAAGCAAATATTTTTTTTATGGCTGTTATGAAATGTCTGAGTTACTCATATTTTCGACAGATACATAAAACTACTGTTTCGATGAATTGTGTCTCCTCCTTTCAGTTCACAGTAGGCGCTGGTCACTCTTGCTCTGAGATTTAATTATACTGTAGTCTTGAGTTTTTGTGTGAAAATGACTCTTAACTGCTGCTCCACAGAAGGTGAACCAGATAATACCCCCTTTCAGCTAATACTAATGGTAGCTTTTAAAAGCAAGTTGCCTAAATTACAGGTACAATCTAACATGCTTGAAACTGACCTGAATGTCTGCATACCATCAGGTTGCTTTAGAAAGGTGAGCAGAGGAGGGAAAGGTGGTGCCAAGGGTAATTCCAGGAATTTGAATGTCATCAGCTCCCTCTGCCAGAGAAACAGCTCTGCTTTTAACCTCAATAAATTTGAATTGGTACCTCATCATCGGGATTCCTTTTGCATCTCTTGGTGCTGGTGTTTGGCCATGCTTCAGAAAAGCTAACGAATAACCTCCTGGGTACTGGGTAAACAAGATCAGCTGTGGCATTCGGGCATAATTCGCACAGCATAAATGCATGCTCTGTAAAGGTAGATAAAACTGGTGAGTTTCAGGGTTCTGAATGTTAGCTAGCATAATAGAGAAATTTGCTTTAAGACAGGGAAAAGTTAGTGTGAGACTCAGACTTCAGAAGGGGAAAAGGATTCTGTAATTTGGAATCATTGTTGGTAGTTTAATCCAATTCCTCATACTATAAAATGGGGCAGTTGAATCCTCCAAGCCTCAGTGGACATATTTGTAAAATATGAGGCTCTGGCTACGTGAGTTTTACTCCTTTTCCGCTCCACAGTGCCATGATTCAACATTTCAGAGGAAGCAGTAGGAGGGTAAGGATGAGAAGACATTGAAGTTCTCCTTGAAGACCCACAGAATATGAAACCTGGCCAGGTACAGATTATTTAAGATAATCTGTATTTTATATCCTCTTCGTGGAATGTTCTTCTCATTCTTCTCATGGCTGCCTCTTTCTCATCATTAAATTTCAGTTTAAAAAGTCACCTAGAGAGGCCTGCCCTAACTGCCCTTGTCAATCCGGCCTCCCCACCCTGTCCTCCTGGGGAAGTTCTCACAGTCTGAGACTGCTTGTTGTCAGAGACTGAGGCTTTCCCAGACAGCAGCCACGTCTCCTTCACTACCATAGCATCTACTCCAGAATAAGCACTTGAGAACCACTTGTGGAAATAACTCATCCTTGCCCTGTAAGAATTTGTGAGTGAGACCCCGTGCGTGGAGCTCCCATTCCCATCTTAACAGGTGACTCGCACTGAGGTCTTGAGCATTTCGCTTAGCCATCCCTGCATCAGTTTCCCCACTGATAAAGGAGAACATTAGAAAGAGAAGTGCGGTTGGGGTGCCTGGGTGCCTCAGTCAGGAAGGCGTCTGACTCCTGATTTGGGGTCAGGGTCGTGAGATTGAGTCTCGAGTCTCCCCCTCCTCCCATCGGGCTCCACACTCAGAGGGAAATCTGCTTGAGATTCTGTCTCTCCTCTGCCCTGCCTCTTACTCATGCTCTCTCAAATAAATAAAATCTCTAAATAAAAAAAAAGAAAGAAAGAAAGAAAAGGAAAAGGAAGAACTGAAGTTTCTGCCTAGAATGAAGAGACCGTGGAGAGGAAAGGAGTGAAAGTGTAGCGGGGGAGTGCTGGATTAGAGGGCGGAAGAGCCTCGCTGGCCTTGCTGCTGACAGGAAGGTGTTTGGCCTCGCTTCCTCATCTGCAGGCACAGAGTGTAATCCCTGCCTCCTCTGACAGGGATGTTGTGGGGATCAGGTGAGATGATGTGTCGGAAAGTACTTTGTAATTTATAGAGTGCTTTGCAAAGATAAGATCTTCCATCATTAGATTCCAGACTAAAATGGAGCCTGATTGTAATGGCATTACCGGGATCCATGCTGTGAGAGGGTGTTAAAAGGAGGCCCCTTGGGTATCTGTAGGGATACCTGGGTAAAGACAGACCTTCGTGATACCAGGTATCGTGTTGTAACGGGGTGTGTAGTGCTGGGGCATCAGTGTGTCCTCAAAGATTGAGGGCTTGGAAAGAATTGCTCCAAGTAGTCACAGAGTGTAAAATTGATACCTTGACCACCCTTCCAGAGGATACACAGGCTAAGTCTGCAATTTACAACTTTCATAGGAGGATTTGATGGAGCTGAAATAAAATAGGAACTTTCATAGTCTAAGGGTTACCCAAGAAAAACTATTACCAAGCAGCAAATCCCCAGAAAAGTCTGTCTGAGCCACCCTGAACACGGGCCTTGTAGTGGGTCAGATCTTATTCCCAGTTAACAGCCTGAGGGGCTCGGAGAGGCCAGGTGGTGTGCACAGCAAGAGCCTGGCTTAAGTCTCTGGGCCCCACCGTTGACCTGGAGCGAGTTACTTAACTTGATGTGCCTGCAGTTCCTCAGCTGTAAATGAGGGTCATAATAGTAACCTGCCCCACAGGGTTGTTGAGAGGATTAAATAAATTATACATCACTTAGAACAATGCCTGCCAGATAAGTTCCCAAGAATTAGTTTATTTTTTGTACTGGTTTTATGTTCCTTGTAACAACCTGGTGTTACCCCATTGGGTGACTCCAGTGCTCATTAAGTACATTTCAAGTTTCAAAGACTCCCTTCCCATCATTGGATTATTGTGCTCCTTGTTAAGATTAGAATAGAACCCACGTATTTTTTCCATTTGGAAATCTGTTATGTGTATGTCTAAAAGGAATAATATTTTGCAATCCCGTGCGTGTGTTGCTCCTGACCGTAGCATCTGTAGGAAGAGCACAAAGGACAAGAGCCTGCGTCCCTGCCGTGGTATCCTTCTGCCTCTGCGCGAAGGCCGCGTAGGACACCAAGTGAATCAAAAGGCTATTGATGACGATGGCCGTGGAACGAATAGGTTTTTTGTTAGTTTGCTGTTTCTTAAAATACTCAGCTAGAAAATACTCTGCATTATTCCACAAATTATGTCACTCAGCTTTGCTTTTGACAGTCGGAAGATAAATTATTTTTCTTGTTGCCCCAGTTTTTACCACCTACAAGTGGACTGTTCCATGCTGGCCCACTGAAGGGTGGATGGATGCTGCCGGACACGAGATGTCCATCCTCACCCTGCAGAGCGGTGTTGCCCTGGGTCCTGAAACCCTCATGTTTACCTTGAATTCATGCAGGAGCATTTCAGTGACCTTTTTTCCTGTAACTTAACATGAAAGATGTGAAGTCCTCTTTGCTCTTCATGTGAAGGCCATGCATGTGGAGGATGTAATGTAATGTAGCAGGGGATCGTGAAGGAAATTTCTGCCTGCCTCCTTCTCTCTTCCCCCAAATCATGGTCTGTTAGGGTGAAATCCAAGAAGAACCCTGAATTTGGGCCTTGGATTGTGAAGAGTCCTTTAATCAGTAAGTCTTCTCATGCTATTAGTCAAAGCGAAAACACTAGTGTTCAGTGTGTCAAACAGCGGAGCTGCTAAAGCTTTAGACATGAATCACAGTAAAAATGATGGGATTTTGGGGACGCCTGGGTGGCTCAGTTGGTTAAGCAGCTGCCTTCAGCTCAGGTCATGATCCCAGCGTCCTGGGATCGAGTCCCACATCGGGCTCCTTGTTCTGTGGGGAGCCTGCTTCTCCCTCTGCCTCTGCCTGCCACTCTGTCTGCCTGTGCTCGCTCTCTCTCTGACAAATAAATAAATAAAATCTTTAAAAAAAAAAATGATGGGATTTTGGTTTTGTTTTAATATTCTCAAAGGTGATTATTTTAGGCATTTTCAGACTGAAGGTAAACGTGCAGGTGGTGGTTTCTGTGGGGAGGATCTAAAATCATGGAATTAAAAAAAGTTTTTTTTAAATAAAAAATAAAATCATGGAATTTGTCATGTTCCAAAATCAGTTTTTAGTTTTTTGGTTTTGGTTTTTGTTTTTTAACAAATCTTGGCTCTGAATAGGATTATCTTCTATCTCTTTTGGTAAGGAAATAGTCATGTAGGTGGTTGTTAAATAAGGTTGAAAAGACCATTTATCACCCTGAATAAACAGAAATCAGGTTCTAAAACCAGATTGAAAGAAGGAAATTACATCACACTTTTAAATAAGGAAGCACTGGGCAGAACTGGGTGAGTTGTATGACAAAAATGTGCCCCTCCTCCTCTTGGGGATTGCTTTTGAGATTTATTAATGAGATCTGCTGGAAGGTAAGCACATCTAGGTTACAGTCTTAAGGTAGCCTGGTTTAAAAAAAAAAAAAAAAAACCGTTTCAAAGTGACTTTCCTCAATGTAAAGGCATGTGATTTCACTTTAATAAAGCATCTGTGGTATGCTTTTTGGTGTAGCCTCTTTTGGTTTTGTTTAAGGAAAGTGACTTTAGCAACAAGCACAGTAGGTAAAGGAATAGTGTGGAAGAGAAGGTGAAATTCATTATTTTCAGAAAGCCCCCCCCCCCCACCCCGGGCTTAGGTGAATGTATAGTAATAGAAACCAACTGAGAAAGTTACATTGTCAATCACTTAAGCTTAGAGTTTTCACCCAGTCTGTATACTGTCCACTTCAGATTTTGGAAGTCAATGTAATGAGAATCCCTTGCCTGCTTCTTACCTAAATTTGTCACATTATCAGGAGGTGTCAGCCCATGTTAGGTTTATCCCTTAGTTCTTCACTGATTTACAGGAGTCTGTCATGTCATTATTTTTTTTAGAAGTGAGATGACTTTTTTCTCAATATCCGTTTAGTAAGTATTTATCAGAAATGAGTGACGCCAGGATCTACACAGGAGGTGGGGAAAGTCCCCAAAATTTGGGCAAGAAGACACAAAATAACCCAAGAACATGTGCATCTGTCCTGGCTCGGGTTATGAAAAATGGTGCCTGTGGGAGAAGCGGCATCCTTGCAGACCCTGAACTGGTTTGGGAAGGGGGCGGGGGGTGTGAAGTAAGTGACAGGAGTTTGGTTTGTAGCGTTGCAGATGCCAGAGGGCCATCCAAGTGGAAAGATAATCACCAGACAATAGGAAATGCAAAGTGGAAGCTTGAATCAGGGCTGGAGTCAAGAGTCAGGAGATGGAGGAGTTGTCTCGTAGTCTCGTAGAAGTAGATCCAAACCCCAAGAGCGGGGTGGGGGAGGGGCAGTTGCAGGGAGAGCAAAGCAGAGGATGGCTTTCAGGGGGTACTACTTTTTGTCTTGAAGTTGAAAAAAAAAGTGAGGTTAGTAGGAAACAGTAGTTCACATCTGGGATTGGTATTTAACTGCACTTCTGACACACCGAAAAGGCTAAAGATTAGTTGATGAATTTTAGGGAAGTTCTTTTGCCCAAGGTCATTCCGATCCTGTTGGACACCGCGCTGCCTCGGTTCACATCCGCTCTCATAGTTTGCATTTCATAACAGAATGCCGTCTTGTGCTGAGAGATGCTGATTTCCCCACATAGGGCTGTTCTTGCAGTTGCTTGCCTCCTGAGCTGTCAGGGAGAGCTGGCTTTATGGTTGACACAGAAACAAAATTTGAAACACTTGAGCATTAATGAAATGTCACTGGACCTGTGGGTTTCTTTTTAACTTGAGCTTGGCCAGGCTGATCCCCCCCCCGGCCCCCCGCAAACCCAGGAGGTTATGTACTGCAGACTTGGGGAGCTTTGAGAGAGGCGTGGAAGAGTTGTAGGTAGCTGGCATTCCCAGGAACATGCCAAAAACATTTGCTTCCAAACCTACGGCAGGTCACCCTTCCTGGGCCTGTAGTTGGAAGTTATTTTCCGAACGAGAACATGCAGTTATGTTTCCCTCCTGGCTTCTCCCAAGCAAGCAAGTAGGAAGTTCGGACAGTTTCATAACACGTCCCATTCACAATTCCCCATTGAAATGTAGAGGCAGGTCACCTTCTATGAATACACAAAGACACTATTGTGGTCAGAAGTGAGCTGGCTTAGTGAACACAATTCTTTTTATACTAAAAAAATTTTTTTTCTTAAGAAAGCTAACAAGTAGGTGATGGAAACAATGAATAAAAAATAACTTTCTAGAACGTATACATAATTCGGAGGGGCTGCCGAAATGTGAGTTTAGAATTCCGAGGCCATTCCAGCAGAGGCGATAGTTACACAATCATTCTGTTGAAAGCTAAGATTTAGATGGCATTAGGAGGCTGACACGCAGTAATTACGAGGAGCACTTGCTGGCCTGCAGACAGGTGGGGGTTGGGCCTCCAGAAACCCCCCCCGCAGCATTTTCCTGTAATCTGGATGAGCGATCTCCAAACGTGTGCTTTCAAACTACTTAAATACCATATTCTTCCTCCTATCTTGGCCTTTCATTTTTACATCACCACAGATACTTTCCCTGTGGTCTTGCCTGAGCTTGTAGGGTGCTGGGGGGCGGGGAAGCATCACATGCCACCAGGCCAGGCGCCCAGAGGGAGTACCAAGCAGTGTGTTCTAAAAAATGTTGTTAATTTTCTATAGCTCTCCTTAATCCAGGTAAAATAAATGTGTGTTTCATTTCAAGCCTCTGAAGACCAAAAACAAAAAATAAGGTCTCTCGATAACTTAGGTTTCTTAAAGGGTGGGGTCCCCCCCCCCCGTTCTTCTTAACAGTATGTCTTTGAGAGACTCATCACAGGAAAAGAAAGCTTGACTATTTGAAATAATATTTGAAAGCTACTTAAGTCGCTGCCTCATGTATCAGAGCAGCTGGCTTTGGGAGAGTAAAAAGCCGAGGGCCAGTAATGGCCCCATCTTCACTTTGTTTCCGAAACATTACTGTCTTTCCATTTCTTTTTGCATGAGCAACAGTAAGCACTTGCAGAGTGTTTTTTAGATCTGTAGCTTAAAAAAAAAAAAGAAAGACCCTTGTACATTCCTTGTACAGGAACCCACATATCCCTGTACGTTCAGTTGACCCTGACCATGGTAATAAGGAGATGGTAGGGTCTGGTCATTCCTGCAGCTAGCAGTCATTTGCTGATGTTCCATTAGTGATGAGTGATGATTGCGACCTAGCCTCTTTCCTGGACTCCCAGTCTAGTGGGTGACAGATCTGTCCCTGAAACAGATGACCTGTGAACCTCCTCCTCCATCCCCCAGAACGCCCCCAGTCCTCCGCAAACCACCAGGCTCTGGGCAGCTGTGCGCATGCTCGGGGAGAGCACTAGAGTGTTAGGAAGCGTCTGTGCTCATCCCAGAAGGGGTCAGTGTTAAACAGAGTTGACAGATTATATCCTAGTGTCTCAAAGGAAAAAAAGCCTCAACTTAACTCTAAGGAAGCATGAAGATGCCAAGAAAGCAGAGCCAGATGCTAGAAGACTCCTCTAGCAAGAGGGTGTGGGGGGAGCTACTGGTTGACCCCAGACACGGCGCACCTGATGAGGGACATTGAGGAACTGCTAAATCAAGAAAAGGCACTTACTTAGCCTCTGTCATCCTTGCCTTGCAGGAGGCAAGGCATGAAGCAGAAGGCACTTGGTACAGGAGAATGTGAAGAATGTGCCTTTAAGTTTGTCTTTCAAAGGGAGGAGGAAGCTGTCCCAGGCCTCTGCTGAAACCCATAACCTTGCAGAACTTAATTTTTACAGGATAATGGAAATTAGGATGCTCCTATCTAGCGATTTCTTTATTCTCGAAGAGGTGGTAACTGGAGAATTTGTCCTCCCGGGGCCAACCCTGAACTACAGAATCCAAACAAATGCTAGGTCGTGGGGAGGTCTGCTGCCACCATAGGATCTCTTGTTCATTTGAAGCCTTGGGTTTTAGTGAATGTCGGTTCTGCGGGACTGAATACAGTGATTTCTGAAATGACCCTGTTGGCTTGGGGGACAGGGAGCTCCTCGCGCTTTGGCAAGCGAGCAGGACTTATCATGCAGCTGTTGGGCTGCGGTGGGAGATGGGCTTTTGCTCGCCGTGGATTATTCCTCACTTTGCCAAAGCATGCAGAGCTTTGATTAGTAACCCCATCCCCCCTCCCCTCCCCAGTTGCTCAAAGTGTCCACGTTTAAGTAGTGCCATGACGATGAGAAGTAAGGATGAGTTTGTGCCAAGAGGTCGGGATCGAGTGAACGTCTATACAGTTTTCTGTCCCAAATGCCCAGGGATATCAGAAGATATTAGCTCTCTATGGGTATTTCTGAATTGTTTGTTCACCCGGCTCTTCTCTGTCCGCCCCTGCGCAGGGAATGCAGGCTACTGGTTGACCACAGATCCCTCGGCCTCAAGCGTGGAGACCTCCAGAGTAAGACACCATGTCCACGGCAGGAGTTGCTGCTCAGGAGATTAGAGTCCCATTAAAAACTGGATTTCTGCACGATGGCCAAGCCATGAGGACCGTGAGGACCTGCTGGGGCGGCCGCAGTGAGTTTGAAAAGTAAGCGCAGGACAGAACGGCCTGAGAAGTCTAAGCCCTGGTGTTCGGGTGAGCTGGAGACTAGGACGGCTCCTTGTTAATGACCAAGATGTTTTTCCTTTCCTTTCAGTCACTTTTTGAACATTGACCCGATCACGATGGCCTACAGCCTCAACTCCACGGCCCAGGAGCACCTCGCGTCTCTCGGTACGTGTCCCCAAAACGCGGTGGGGGCGCGGGTACTTGGGGTGGGGGGGGCGGGGGGGGCGGGGATGGGCCGGGGGACGGGCCCGCTGGTCCTGCAGCTCCGTGCCGGAGCGTGGAAGCCGCCCGAGCCCTGGTGGCAGCAGGCTGTGAAGAGAGCCGCCCGGCTCTCCAGCCCCCTGCCTTCCTCCTGAGTCGGCGGGGCCCTGACGAGACCCGTTTGTGGAAGCGGGACCTTCCACAGTCGCCGACGTGGCCCCAGCTCTGGTCCACACGTAGCCTGCAGAGACCTCGGAGTAGATCTGTCCTCTCCCTCACGAGTGTCGGGCACGCATCCGTGGGCGAGCAATAGTGTCTGTGGCGACAAGAGACTGAGGAAAGTGTGTGACGTGCCGCCCGGCACTTGTGACGCGGACACTGCGCTCCTTAGATTGCTGTCAGGGGCCCCAGCACACCACGTGCAGGTCCGCGCGCCCCTGACGTCCCGTTGGGCTGCTGGTGTGGGCCCCGGTGTCCCCCAACGCGGCCCCGGTGTCGCATGACGCGTCCCTCGCCTGCCTCGTGTCGCCGCCGCTCTTCCCGTGGCCGGGCCGGTGTGGCGCGGTCGTCCGGAAAGGACACGCCGCTCGTGGTCTGCGAGGCTCGCACGCGTCACCAAACCTGCCGCGGGGTGTGGGGTGTGTGGCTGTGCCCCCGCGCACGTCCGGGGCAGATGGACCAGATGACGTGCCCTTTGAAGCAGGTCCCTGGCGGCCGCCATCTTCTGGCGCCGGTCGGCCGGTGGCTGTCCCCGGGTGTTCTCGGCCCGCACCGTCGCGCATGCGCTGCCTCAGCTGAGAGCCCTGAGCGCAGGGGTGCGGGCCGGGGGGCTCGGCCTGGAGCGGCGGGGGTGGGGCAGCACGACAGGCATGCGCGCCCCTTCCTGACCCCTCTCGTTGGCTGCAGGGCACGCGGCGACGCCTGCCGCGAGGGACGGCCCTGCTCAGAAGCCCAGCCTGGCCCCTCTCGTCATCCCCCCGGGCGAAGACGGCTCGCAGCGAGGAGAGGAGCGCGTGGTGTGCGGTTTGCGGCGGCTCTCGGTGAACGGGCTGTGCGCGTCCCCTCCGCTCACCCCCGGGAGGAGCCCCCCGTCCCCCTTCCCCTGCGCGGCCCTCTGCGACCGGGGTTCGCGGCCGCTCCCGCCACTGCCCATCTCGGAGGACCTGTGCCTGGACGAGGCCGACTGCGAGGTGGAATACCTCACCAGCTCGGACACCGACCTGCTCCTGCGAGACTGCGCGCTCTCCGGCTTCAGATACGACGTCCCCGGCCGGCGCAGCTTCCGCGGGTGTGGACAGATCAACTACGCGTACTTCGACACCCCGGCCGTCTCCGCAGCCGACCTCAGCCAGGCGCCCGAGCCGCACGGCGCGGTGCAGAGTTCAAATCCTCCCCCGCCCCAGAGCCACCGGAGACTGCGACGGTCGCATTCGGGACCGGCCGGGTCCTTCAACAAGCCCGCCATAAGGGTGTCCAGCTACATACACAGAGCTTCTCCCAACTCGGACGAAGACAAACCCGAGGTGCCCCCCAGGGTCCCCATACCTCCCCGGCCCGTGAAGCCGGATTACAGAAGGTGGTCAGCAGAGGTTACTTCCAGCACCTACAGTGACGAAGACAGGCCTCCCAAAGTACCGCCGAGAGAACCTTTATCCCGCAGTAACTCGCGCACACCCAGCCCCAAGAGCCTCCCGTCTTACCTCAACGGGGTCATGCCTCCCACGCAGAGCTTCGCCCCCGACCCCAAGTACGTCAGCAGCAAGGCTCTGCAGAGACAGAACAGCGAAGGATCTGCCAATAAGGTTCCCTGCATTCTGCCCATTATCGAAAATGGGAAGAAGGTCAGTTCCACGCATTATTACCTACTACCTGAGAGACCCCCGTACCTGGACAAATATGAAAAGTTTTTTCGGGAAGCAGAAGAAACACCCACAGGCCCCCAGCCCCAGCCCCTGTCTGCTGACTGCGGTGTCGTCCCAGCCGCAGACAAGCCGGACCCAAAAACAAAACTGGACCTCGGTGGCCACATGAAGCGCAAACACTTGTCCTACGTGGTTTCTCCTTAGGCTCCGCGGTCGTGGTTCAGCAGGGGCTCCCTGGGAGCAGATGGTTCGCAAGCCACTCTCCCGTTCAGTGGAGGTTCACAGGGGAGTGTTCCAGATCGCAGAGCAGAATAGCTGAACCCTCCGTCTTAGAGAGAGGGTCAGAGCAGCCACCAGGGGCCCTCAGACTGGGAAGCCCTGATTTTGTTGGCGTTGCAGGAAAGTCTGTTCCAGCCTGGAATGTAAAGCTGTGCCGGCGGGGAGGGAAGGCTGGGGAACCTTCGATGTGTATACATTAGAGACCTATAGAAGCCTGTGTGGCAGCTGCGGGCCGTAGTCGCGGGATAACCAATTAGTTGCTACCTTAGAGTAACATGTATTCAGAATGTTAAAACAAGCTGGAGGACGACTCCTGACTGAAAATTGAGCAAATGGAAGAAAACACAGTATTGTTTAGATCAGAATCATTTAAAAAAAACAAACAAAAAACAGTAAACAACCAAAAAAACAAAAACAAAAACCATTTTTGCTTAGTCAGTTTGAAAGGATCTGGCTCTCGGGCCCATGAAGTTCTGTCTCCTTTATTTCTGCAAACAGTCTGTGCCATTGAGGGCGGGGCCCCCATCTGTCCCATGGCCCTACCTGCCCAGTTTAAAAATCGTCCCGAGGCCTGGGTCCCTCCAGTTTGCCTTCTGCTCCGTTGAGGGGAGGTTGGTAGTGTGCTTGGCAGCCATGTTCTCACCTGTGCACGCATGTCTCACACCTTGACAAATGAGAAGGTACCAGAATCCATAAACCATTTTTCCCGACAGTTCCTGCTCCGTTCTGCCCACTAGCCTGGCCCATTGTAGCACGGGCCTCGCAGCTGCGGGAGGAGGGCAGGTTCAGGTCCTGTGGAGAAGCAGCCCGTTCGCCTGTGGTCAGGATGTCAGTTTTAAGCAATCGTGAAACAGCTGTGTGCCTGAGAGTCACTGGGAGCATGTGTTGTGGTTTTGTGTTGGTGTTTTGTTGTTTTTTTTTTTAAGATTGTATTAATACACAAATACAGCACAAGCTGGCCTTGTGTTGCTGGTTCCTATTCAGTATTTCCCGGGGATTGTTTGCTTTTTGAGTGAAACACTTGTGACCAAGAGCACAGTATGTCTTAATGGCACGGGTCACATCAGCATCTTCCTGCTTCTGGGACCGTCCCGGTTGGCTGCTTCACCCGGACTCAGCGAGACCCGTCACTTGCGCTGGGGCTTCCACACGCTTCGACGTGTGGATCTTGTAGAGACAAGCACAAAAGAGAAGGTGCTCACTAACAGAGGTACATTACTACAATGTTCTCTTAACAGTTCAACAAGCTGTTTACAGTTTAAACTGCTGAATGATACGATTTGAGCTATTTAAAGCTTATATTTTAGTATGAACTAAATGAAGGTTAAGACATGCTTTAGAAAAAATGCACTGATTTCTGCATTATGTGTACAGTGTTGGACAAAGGATTTTATTCATTTCTGTTGCATTATTTTGAATATTGTCTTTTCATTTTAATAAAGTTATAATACTATTTATGACACCGTTAACAATGTTTCTTGCCTAAAGTCTTATAAAAGTTGATGTCTCAAGTACGTTGACAAGCATTGCCATCTCTAAGCACAAGAGAAGCTTTTTCATGGCTTCCTAAGCGCTTGAACTTTACCGTCATTCCCTGAAATAAAAGTAATTTGAGCGACTGATAATGAATCTTAGAGACGCGGTGCAAGTGGGCTGTTTGTTTTCACCTTTCACAGTTCACAGAGGGGCTTGGGCTGATGCTGGGCCTGCTGGGGAGGGGCCTGCCCATCACGGGGCACATACGGACCAAGTCACCTCTTACAGACTTGATGTGACTCACAATGAGTTTCAGGATTAGGTCTGGATCATTGTGGGTCCTTTGGGAAGCTCTGCTTCCTGTCTGACATGAGGCCACCAGAGAAACCCTAACCTGCCCAGGCCTCTTGGAGAGGACAGCCATGCTTCTCCCGGCTTCTCGGCACAGGAGGAAGCTAGGCCACTGGGTGTGTGAGGGCACCTCTCCAGCTCCGTGGGACCCTATGCTCAGCTCTCCCCTCTCCTGGGCCCTGTAGCCAAAACCCAGTCACTCTCACCCCTCCATGGCTCCTGGGCAATGGTGAAGCTCTCCGTTACCTTGACCGAGCCCCTGCACGTGCTGGTATCCTCCAGAGTACCAGGGCTCCGAGGTCAGTGAGCCGGGCTGGGAGTCCACCTCTACCTCTGCCTAATTATGTGTCGGGAAGATTCTTAACGTCTCTGTCCTTGGGTAAAATTAGCATCCTGATAGCCGTGATAGGGAATTATCTGTGGCAACCATGTATGAACCCTTGGCAGCCTGTAGGTGCATGACCTTCATGGTCATTGGTTACTGTGCCCTGACGGGTTATTTCTGACACTTTACAGACCAGGAAATGGGCTGGGGGAGTTGGTTCGACAGACACTGGCTAGGAAATCCCAACCACATTCTGGGTCCTGGGAGGTGGGCATATCCTCTGCCCTCTAGAATTTTTTTTTTTTTTTAAGATTTTGAGAGAGAGGGGTGCCTGGGTGGCTTGGGTCATGATCCCAGGGTCCTGGGATCAAGCCCCACATCAGGCTCCCTCCTTGACAGGTAGCCTGCTTTTCCCTCTCCCATTCTTTGCTATATCTCTCTGTCATAAATAAATAAAATCTTAAAAAAAAAAGAAGATTTTGAGAGAGAGTGCATGCATGAGAGGGGGGAGGGGGAGAGGGAGAAGCAGACTCCCTGCTGAGCAGGGAGCTGGATGCGGGCGTGATCCCAGGACCATGCAGGGATCATGACCTGAGCCGAAGGCTGATGCTCACCGACTGAGCCCCTAGGCTTCTAGAATTTAGAAGCCTGCCTTCTAGAATTTAAAGCAGTCCTTAATTATGGTTTGCAGTGAGCGCCACCAAGGAGTGTACAGTGTGGTAGGTAACAAAGGGGCTGTACTCTAATGTGATGAGATGGAAGGGTCGGACTCTAAGCCGAAGGAGGTGGAGGGAACAGGGAGGAAAGGCCGAGGAAACACATTACCTGTGAGCCCCTGAGGCTGGAAAGAAAAGGCTGGCATCTTCCATAAGCCAGAAGTTGTGGCCACAGGAGGATGGACGCTGGGCAAGGTAGTGACCACTTAAAGATCTAGGTAAGGGAGCGACAGGATCTGACTTATCTTAAGAAGACGACAGTGGGGGGGCGCCTAGGTGGCTCAGTGGATTAAATAAAGCTTCTGCCTTCGGCTCAGGTCATAATCCCAGGGTCCTGGTATCGAGCCCAGCATCAGGCTCTTTGCTCAGCGAGGAGCCTGCTTCCCCCCTCTCTGTCTCTGCCTGCCTCTCTGCCTACTTGTGGTCTCTGTCAAATAAATAAAACCTTAAAAAAAAAAGATGACAGTGGCTATTGTATGGGGAACAGATTGGAGAGAAGCCAAGGGGAATGTGGGGCTGTCAGGACCGGGAGGTGTCGGGACCTGGAGAGACAAGGGGCCAGGGGAGATGTTAGGCCTGGAGATGGAGAAAACCTGCTTTGAGAGATCCTTTGAGGTAGAAGCAGCAGCTTGAAGACCTTGGATGGGATGAGCTCAGGGCGTGTGGCTCCAGCACCCCCGCCCCCCACTCCCACCCTTACCCCCTCCGTGAGCTCCATCAGCCTCCAGGGGTGCCAGGATGACCCAGGAGAGGTAAATAGAGCACTCCCACTGATCTTTGCTGACACCTATTTTTTGCCTCTTTTCTTCCCCCTTCCATTGCCTTTCCTTGTATTGTGGTCAAGACCATCTTTTTTTTTTTTTTAAGATTTTATTTATTTATTTGACAGACATGGATCACAAGTAGGCAGAGAGGCAGGCAGAGAGGGGGGAGGAAGCAGGCTCCCTGCTGAGCAGAGAGCCCAATGCGGGGCTCGATCCCAGGACCCTGGGATCATGACCTGAGCCAAAGGCAGAGGTTTTAACCCACTGAGCCACCCAGGCGCCCCCCCTTCTTTTTTTTTTTTTTTTTAGAGAGAGAGCGAGAGAGAGACAGAGATCACAAGGAGGCAGAGAGGCAGGCAGAGAGAGGGGGGAAGCAGGCTCCCCGCTGAGCAGAGAGCCCGATGCGGGGCTCGATCCCAGGACCCTGAGATCATGACCTGAGCCGAAGGCAGAGGCCTAATCCACTGAGCCACCCAAGGGCCCCCCCCCTTCTTTTTTTAAGATTTATTTTATTTTAGAGAGAGAGCGTGGGCATGGAGAGGGGAGGGGCAGTGGGAGAGGGAGAGAGAGAGAACGTCAAGCAGACTCCCTGCTGAGCGCAGAGCCTAAGGTAGGGCTCAATCTCACAACCCCAGACCATGACCTGAGCTGAAATCAAGAGTCAGCCATTCAGCGGACTGAGCCACGCACGCGCCCCAAGCATCCACATTTGCTTCCCTCTGAACCTTCGCGTTTTTCCTTGATTTTGCAAGAATGCTTTTCCCTACTTTCCGTGGCCAACCAAATGCGTACGCAACTGAAACTCGGTCAGAGCAGAAGCTCAGTCCTCCCGCCGCGCCCGGAGCCAGCCGAGCTCCGACAGTTCTCCCGGCCCCGGCTGGCCCCGGCCTGCACTCTGAGCTGTTGCCACAGCCCAGCAGGAGCAATGAGCTGGCAGCGGCCGCTGGACACACTGTGATCGGGCAGGTACTATCTTAGCAACAAAGTATGACCGTAAAGTTGGGAAACGGGGGCTCCGGTCAACCTCCCACCTCCGATGCGAAGGATTCCCTCAGCTTCCCCGAGCCCCGCTGTCCCCTCAACGTGAGACCAGGCCCCAGCAGGCCCAATACCACACAAACCGCAAGGATTTATTATTAGGGACTGTCTCATGGCAGAGAGCAGATGCTAAGGTCGAGAGGACCCGTTTGTCGGTCAGCATCAAACGCGGATAATATTAGATGGGAGGTCTCCCCAGGCGGCCATAATCGATCATGAGTTCCTTATCTTTTTTAAAATGCCACGTGCTTGTTTACATGTTGCTTATTTCTCCCTAGGTCTCTAGGGATATCTTAGTTAACTATGTAATGAAAAGAACGTTCCTTAAGAGGGTGTCTCTTCGCAGCGAGGGGCCCTGTTCCAAAAAAAGAGGCCGACAGATTCTTGCAGAGCATTTCAGAGTTGAAGGAGAGAGAACTGCATCCCTCTGTCCATCGGCTCAAGTATCAAAATATGAGTTCAATTAGTCTCTCCTGTCGTTCCTAATTTCATCACCTGATTTGTAGTTTTGAGGTACATGGAGATTTTCTCTTGAAAACAAGCTCCTTGCAGGGGTATTTCATACCTGGTTTCTTTGCTTTTATATTTTGTGGGAATTACAGACTCCCGAGAAGTTTCAAGCTTGCACAGAAAGACGTCCTGGACCCATTACCCGGCCTCCCCCAAAGACAACAGCTTTCAAAATTATAGTCCGTCATCA